CTAAAAAAAAACCGTCAAAATTAAAAGGAAAATAGTCCGTTTAATAATACTACCCTTGGCCTCGTCAATAGATTACGTGTACTAGCTAACTAGCTACATTACATGAGTATTCCATTATTTATTCTGCTTAAATTAAAGTTACCTATGGATTGAAAAAAATATGGTATGTATGAACAATTAAGACGTCGTTTTGAGTCAAATGATAATGCAAGATTAATTCAGACTACTTTTTTTTTCTTCCACCGATGCCATGATCGGGTGACATAATTCGGTAGCGGCTCAATTTCCAGCATCTAGTCATTGTTTTACATATTACTTCGTATTTGAGCAGATTTTAATGCTGTCTAGCTAAGGTCTGATAGGAGCTCAAAGCTTTAATAATTATTCAACTTGTATTCCTCGTCTCCCCAACTATGATTATTAAAAGAATAATTAGACTAATTACCTTCTTTCTAATTAAGAAAACAAGAAATACGAGTGATTAACTTCGTTCGAGAAGGTTTTACTGGTTAATCCAGTTTTCACGTAGCAAAAAAAGACATATTCAACGTACCAAAGATAACTTTTCATTAAAATCTATCTATAACCTATAGCGTTTTCTCGCGGTTGATAGGCAAATATTTAATCAGAGAAGATTAGTTAAGGTAATTTATTCTTTTTGACTTGGATTAGCAAATAACAAGGGAGAGGGTTATGTGTTTACTTGTGTCCTTTTAGGTTAATAACCTGAGTGGTCCAATAATCATACCGAAACTTCTGCTAACAAGTTGTCAATATGTATATTTTAAAAAGAATTTTGCTCATAAACCTTTACAATCAGTCAATATGTTGCTCACAGAAGCAGTAACTTTCATATCGTTAGCCATTTGGTCACCCACCAGGAAGTGAAAGCTCTAAACAATATAATTTCTTCCTTACAATGATACAATTAGTTAGTATCCTATGAGTTTGTGCCTTTTATCCCGAGCCATTCTTGAGTGAGATTATTATATTGTACAATTATTACAAACAATTGCACAAGATATAAGGTGATTAGCAAGTAGTTAAGTATCTTTACTAAAAAAAAGACAAGGTGTGTGATATACTCCCGACTTTGACTAGAAGTTACCCTTTCCTAATTCTTTGCCACGAGAGTGCATTAAAATGAATAAAAGGAAAAATTAATAATCGTGAATCTCTAAACAATTACTCTATATCAATTTCCGCACATTAATACAATTGGTTAGCATCTTACTATCCAATGAGTTTGTGCCTTTTATATCAAGTCGTTACATAAAAAAACCATTACACATTTACACATATAAGCTAATTAACACGTAGACTGTTATTATCAACAAATGAAATGCCATTTTCAGTCTTGAACAAATAGACTAATAGTTGCTCCATTATATTTCTCGAAGGACATTTTGACTTAAATTTGCAGATCGAATATCATAGAAATTTACCACGAGAGTGCATTTAAATGAAATAAGAAAAAAAAAAAAAGAATTAACAATTGTGACTTGTGAATCTCTCTCTTTCTAATGTTAGGTTAGATGATATAGAAATAAAAGGGTTGACAATGAGGATAGCAATGGGACCTACCCTAATGAAAAGACAATTTGATTGCTCACAAAAAGAAAGTAATGATAGTTCCAATCATGAAAATGTATTAGCTTTACAGCATGATTCTACGAAATGATGTGCATTGCACTTGATCTTTACTGGAAATTGTAGCCTTGAATGGCATGCAACGTTTAGAAATCAAGGATAGGGTTCGTTCATTCACCTAAAAAAGATAACGATATTTGGGGGAAAAAAAAAAGTTGGGGACAAAAATGAAATTTATCAATTTATGTAAAGATCATTAGGTCAAAGCTTCAAGGAGTTTACTTAAAACACCAACCATTCAATATAACTTGGTGTCCTCAATTTCTGATTAAAGTCATGAAACCTATAATGAAAATATAAACATGAAACCTTGCCCAAAATTCCATTATCCAATGTGCGGGCGAAAAAAAAAGAAAAAAATCAAAGTCTGACCAGAAAATATTGCCGCCCAGCCTATGAAGATCAAGCAAGAGTTCAGAATTTACGGACCAAAGTCAATTTACTTTTAATCACAAAACTAAATCAACTTGAACTCAACCTCGCATAGTCGCATATAATTTGTTGTAAAGAGTTTGTAAATAATTCATTACTCGTGTTTTTTATGGTACGGTACAAATATCATTAATTCATTCCTCTGATCTACAAGTATGAACAATTCAATCACTTAATACTAAACTCAACTTGACGGAACATTATGATTTATCATCCAAATAAAATCGTTACCAACTTGATTGGAAAAAAACTCGTTTATCAGCTCTACTTTGACTCTACCTACGATCATTAAGATGGATACTTTAGATAAACTCCGCATGTTGCCTTGTCACTATTACAAAGACATCATTTAAGCATATTTTACACTCCTTTTATTTATTTATTTATTTTTGAAACCTTACACTCCTTTTATTTTATATCAAAAAACTTAAAAAATATTTTTTTTTTGTAGTGAATGTATTTTTAATAGTAGTATAGATGTAAAATTTTCAGAGTCTGAATTTCTAATAATCCACTTCGGATAAAAATTACTCCAACAACAATTTTTACCTAAAAATGTGTCGACAAATGATAGTTTGAAGTAGAGAGTGGACTCCTTATTTTACACACCTACATACCATGCATAATTTAAAAAACCACAAGAATTGTAGAAAGAAGAACTTCATTTGACTTTAGAGGAGATAAATTTCTCTTAAAAAACATTTTATTATTTTATGGGAACAAAGGTATAATAATTCATGAGCATATCTTAAGGTCTATTTGTCTTTTCTGATTTCACATTGTTTCTAGTAGATAGGCCCCCTCCTAATTGTATTATTATGTAACATTATTAATTAATTAGTACCCATAATGTGGAAGAAAGATAGTATAAAGAAAGGAAGAATTAAAAAAGCAAAAAAATATGATATATTAGATTCTAGACTAGGAAAGACAATGAGGAAAACTCTGTTCTACTTTCTAAACATTTCAAAATTATCCATTATTTTATTCATAAAGTTAGATCCTTTTTTCTACTCTTCCTTTTTGAAATCCAATGACTTGTTCCATATCTCTCTTTCTCCAGCTATTATTGTCTTTCCTCACTAACCATTATATATACTTTCATACACATTTTTATACGACACAATTATCATCATAATTCACAATCTACAGCCAATATAAGAGCTAAAACTTTGCACAAACTTCTACACCAAACAAAGATTAAAAGAGAGAGAAAAACAAACAAAAATTAAAAACAATAAGATGGGAAGAGCACCTTGCTGTGATAAAGCCAACGTAAAGAAAGGTCCTTGGTCACCTGAAGAAGATGCAACTCTCAAGGCTTATATTGAGCAAAAAGGCACAGGAGGTAACTGGATCGCGCTGCCGCAGAAAATTGGTAAGCAAAATATGTATACAGCTTCATGATCATATATAGAATTTTTATCTCACTAGTAAAGTTTATTTCAGTATTACTAACCTGAGTTCTCAACAAATTGTTGGTTGGTTTAGGCCTTAAGAGATGTGGAAAGAGCTGCCGCCTTCGATGGTTGAATTATCTCCGACCTAATATCAAGCATGGAGGGTTCACTGAAGAGGAAGAAAATATCATCTGCAGCTTGTACCTCAGTATTGGAAGCAGGTAACTGATCAAGCCCATTTCTATACCCAAAAAAAAAAAAAAAAAAAAAAAACCCTGGTAAATAATATTAAATGGGATAGGAATGATAAAAAAAAAATAAAAGTAAACAATCACTACTATTAATCTTGCTATAAGCAAGTCTAAGTCGATCAAGATTGATTCTCTCCAGTAACTAGACGATTTTAGAAGCGTATTTTTGAGGATGCAAAAATAAAAAATTCTCTTTCATATGGAGGTCTAGCTATGTTGCCATGTTACCACAAGACACTCTAAACCTTGTAGAGAAACTGCTTCTTATTGGACTTTAAAATAAATAAATAAATACAGTTTTTCTTAGATGGAAATATGATTCTAATATGTGTTGATATTTCAGATGGTCTATCATTGCTGCACAATTACCTGGAAGGACCGACAATGATATCAAGAATTACTGGAACACAAGGCTGAAGAAGAAGCTGATGGCTAAGCAAAGAAAGGAACAAACAGCTTGCCGTATCATTGAGCAGGAGATTAAGAGAGAGAGCGAGACTTTTATGGTAAATCAAACCTTGAACCAAGTACCATACTGGGCTGAGCAACAAACATCCATGCCCATGATGCACCCAAGTCTTGCAGCTCATCATCTCGGAAATCAAGATCAGCTCACAAGACTACTGACCAAGATCGGGGGACAGTTTTATGACGATTCCCAGCTCATTAACAACAGTGGCAGTTACCAATATCCCACTCAAGACCAGCTTTATGTTCTAGACTTGTCTAATGCTCAAGCATCTTCAGCAGTAGCCATAAATTCCACGACAAACGTGAATTTTACCCAGTGGCTAAACACGGAATATGATGTGAATGGTGTGAGCATGAATATGCATCAAGGACAGGAGAGCTTTCCTCCAGAATTTGAAGCATACTTTAGTAATCAGTCAAGATTTGATGGAAACGAGAGCTATTCTGGTGTTGAGGTAGGCAACAACAGTAGCACCACAAGCAATTCCGCAGGCAGCAACAGCTGGGAAGACATGAGCTCCCTAGTCAACACACCTGCATCCAGTTTCGACGCTTATCAGAATGGGATGCTGTAGGCTCTATTGAGTCCCAGGTTCTTAGGATAGCAATAATAAGAGTAGCATTATATGGTGTAAATTATTTGTACCTGCGGAATTCTGGATAAGGTTCACAGTAAATTTCATTGATATATCATGTGATTTTTGTATGAAATATGCATATGTTTGCGATTCATCTATTTTTCCAATCAACCGCATTTTAAATTTTGATCAGAGCTAGCTTAAGTTATGCCATGAAAGTAAGGATAATTGAGTACAGTACAACTAGTTTATCCACCTTGAAACCAAAAGCTTTTCTGAAAATGTCTCATGAATGAAAGTACAGTATAAGATATTATCTTGACAACTTCACTTAAAAATACATGGGTTGAACTTGCAACAGTATTTCCCAGTTCTGCAAGAAAAAGCAGTATATAGTCGGAAAGGTACTTTATTTTGGACACACCTTGCTCAAACTTTGCAATTTGGGCATCAAAAAATGGCTGCATTCTCTTATAGTTATCTTCCTGTCTATACTTCTGCTAGCAACCAAGGCTATTCCACGTAATACTTTGATTCAATCAGCCTGCAATCATTTTACACTAACTATTATTGAGCATATTATATTTTATAATCAATCACAGGTAATTAAGCAAGCATCATTGGATAATCAGAGATTATGTATAAACAAATCTACCAGTTCAGGAATAATGCCAGATTGTTAATATCATATGAAAGGTAAAGTCATGACTATATGCTTAAATTATAATTATCATCAATTAGATTCCTAAAAAAAACTTAATCTAGTAAAATATATCAGATAGAATTCTTAATCAAAATACTATCCTTTTGTTTTCTTATATTTCGCAGTACCTTAAGGGTTATAGAATGAAGCAGACAACAAGCATGCAATCGATCTTACTTTTGTGTCAGTATTATGGTGTAGGTAGTTTTTGCTATTTTGGCTCGCTTGTTACTCAAGCCAAGGATCTGGGAATAATATCAGCCCTTGTGAACTTCTAATTCAGGAACTACCCAGTCTAGACAAGGCCAAGATACCAAGTTCCACACATCCTCCTGCCTCTTGAGATCTCAGTCATCCCTAGCAAAATTATACTCCCTTTGTCCCATAGCAGAGTTAACATTGTCCCAAAGCTCGATCTACTACCGAGTGAAAACAAATTTATCATCATTCTCACTAATTTATCACCCCAATTAAACAGACCATAAAGGTGACTGCTGTAGTAGCAAAACTATACTCTCCCTTTGTCCACAACTGAGTTAACATTGTCCCAAAGCTCAATCTGCTATGGAGTGAGTACTCATTTTATTATCAGTCACTAATTTATTACCCCAATAAAGGTGACTATGCTATAGGAAAACATCTTACAGTAACAAAAGTCAGGCTCCAACACAAAAACTAGCCTCTAAAGAGATGCATCTTTTAGACCCCCTAACATAATAAGAAAGCAATGTATTTTCTGAACATATTTTTTAGGTTTAATTTCTTTTTTTGTTGTGTTATCAATCTGCACAAATTAAATATAACTGGTCTACGTGTTGCTGTAACTAATAAACAAATCCACCCCCCAGAAAATAACTGACTGTGATCCATGGCATGCTGTACCTTGATTCGTAATTGTAGGCTTGTAGCAGCATTTAAAGACCATAGAATTCAGCTCCTTACAAAATATTCTTTATTACTTATCAAGCTTCAATACCTATTTTCTGTAACACCTTTCTCTGAGGGAAGAGGCCTAATCATCACAAATTCCCAAGCACAAATGTTCTCTTATTTCACATTAGAGATTCAACTCCAAACCTATTATTTTTTCATCTGACAGGCATCAAATTAAGAAAACTACATCAGAGAAGGGCATGGCATATTACAGAAATCTAATGACAAAAAGCTGCATGCCAATCATACTGGACAAGTTACAACTATTAAAAAGTAAATCCCAGAACTACCCAATAGAGTAACATCAATCCCTTGTTTTTTTCACTAAAAACAATCTAAATGCGCTGGTTATCAAGTTCTTTCCTGTTTGGTCTGCAATTATTTATTGCCCTTTCTTTTATTGCTCTTTCCTGGTTAACAACTATTGTGTTCTTAACTTTTTTTTTTTGGTTTCGTTTTGCTTCTTTTTAACAAGCCTACTTTCTATACTAAAATAATACGGAGTAATACGAGAGATATATTAAAAACTTGTAGACATTCAATCCATGCATAGGCTAGACTATTACCAATTCAATTTCGGGTTTGGTCATATTTTTCCACGTCTGAAAAAAGGTGGATCCACTTTCTATAGGGATAACAAATGCAAGGAATGCAAATCCATCTCATGTGTTCTTATTAAAAAAAAAAAAAAAAAAAAAGCTTCCTAGATGAATTTTCATAACCGACCTTTTTTTAGGGTTGAATTTATCGCGTACTCCCCTTGTCTCACTATAATTAAGGAGGGAGACAAGGAATTGAGGAAAAAATTATTAGTGCATATACATCTGAATACACTTACAATACAGCCTAACAGGACTTAAAATGGAAAACAGTACATTTTTTTTCTTTGGTTAAGCAATTTTTTAATGCACCATAAATGGCATAAAATAGTATAAATCCAAGTGCATAAGGTGGAGGTGCTTACTAGATAGAGCTCTTCATAATCCTTACACAACAAAAAATTATCCACAATATACTATTCAAAAGGGTACAAATCAAGCAAAAGATCCAATTGTGATTAATAAAATATCAATGCCTGAAACTTGGATGTGTGCACGTTACACAGTCTGAAGAAATTAAAAAAATGTAAACTGTACAAAAATTGTACATGGCTTTTGGTTCCAAAGGGTGCGGCAAGGAGTAATATCAGCTTTGTAGCACAAGTCAAAAAAGATAAACGACAAATGAAAGCACAAAAGCTAAAAAAAGATTGACCAGGTCTCTCTCTTTTACTCGTAGTTGCCTTGATGAAATATTATCTAAAAGGTATGGTGTACTCAGTCAACTAAAGTAATTGCAATGGCTTTTGTTAAGTCCTCGGGATACTAGACGATAAATACTACAACTATGGCATCCATTATTTGATTATATATCACTATCAATTCGAACTTTTCACTCTTTCACCAAGATACGTCTAAGACCGAATAAGAGAACATATGCACACCTAACTGTTCAAACACTTACATATGTTCTCGTTGCTTTGTTTGCAAGAGCTTGTTGCTTGATCTAACGGTTCATAATCACTGATGGCACACCTAATGACTCTTTTAAGTCTATATTAAAGGCGGTGACTGAAACTAGCACAATTTGAAAAGTATGCATTACTTGAGTTTCTATTCGTTTATAGCAGAAGAAATAGGGGATTCATGACAGAGTCAGATGATACGGTGTATATGGCTAGAACTTCAAGGTCTTCAGTCTAAAAAACAAAAAGGAAATGTCATGAATAATACTTAGTGGCAGACTAGTAGTTTTATTCAAAGGTCTGCCTTATCATTGGTTAATGCTAAACCACAAATTAAATCTACTCCGTATAATTCCGGGTCAGTGAATGGACTAGAGTACCCCTTTTGTGGTCCAAGAAATGCAATAGTGTTCTTACACGTGCCAAAAACTAATTAATGATGAGAAGATTAACTCCCTATTTGTATAACTAAGTTAACTAATACGGAACAACTTTCATGTGCACAACGAATGTATGAGACTCTAAAGAGCATCACTTGTTCATTTTGCAAAGTTAAAACTTCACAATTCATAGACGTACATACAAAGGAACTAAGGTAGACTGTAACTTCTTACATCTGGCAGCCCCACACGGGCCACACCTATACCACATCACCCCCACATCAAAAACCTAAAAACCTTTTTAGGTCATCAGTATTTGATAGATATATTTCAGATAAGTGCCCAATTTCAGGGAGTAATATAAGGAAAAGCTCAAGGATTTTAAGCCAGCAAATCATATTAAGAGACATAGATCACGTTTGCAATATCAGTAAACCCACCTAACAATCTAAATAAATTCTTAAACAAATGATAACTTCATGTCATACACTTCAATCACAAAATAGAATCCTTTTTTCTTATTTAATATGCATGTGCATTGATAGAAATTTTTTCAAAAACGTGAATAAAAATAAAAGGAGTCTAAAGAGTTACAAAAGATAATAATGTACTCCGTACTAATTGACAATACTCAATCTCAAGTTCCCAAATTTTTAAAGCGAATCATCATTGTAAATTTTAACTAATTAACACCCCAAGAATATGGATATATTTCAAGCAAAGTAATAATTACATCTTTCAGACAATTTTGATGGACATACAGGTCCAACTAAGGTTTTATAATTCATATTTTAATTTTCAGAGTCCACAATTGTACGGATTTGATAGAGATACTCACACTACCAGGCAGCAGTAGTTGCAAATTAGATCAGTTTGATAATTATTTTTTGACTTTCACATCAATTTTTCTTCTTTTAATTATTTGTTTTTCTGTGAATAGCCAAATAAAATCAAGTATAGTAGTAATATACATGCACAGTTGACATATTTTGAAAACAAAGGTTGAAATTTTCAATTATGTTGAAAAGTACGGCTCGAACAAGGCCAATTGTTCAAGCAACCTGTCATATCTAAGTAGGCTCTACTAATTAAAAAAAATAATATATTTGGATCAAATTCACTCATTTTCACTCCATTGACATTCTAACATTTTGGATCCATCTACTAGGCAGTACAGCAGCACAAAATTATTTGCATCAGCTAGTTAGATTTTCTTCCAAAAGAAAAATGTTTAATCATCAAACTGCAGTCAAAAGGAAACAGAGAAAGAACGTATTGCCTTTTTCTTAGTTCCATGATTAATTAGGTGAATTAGTAGTTTTCCTATAAGCAGCCGATTTTCATGAACTAGTTGTAGTATTTATGCATACATGAACATGTTACCAGAAAAGTAAACAAGTGCAGAATTCACTGTTGGTGACAACCAAAAAAAAAAAAAAAAATCTTTGACAGTGGATGCTTAGCCCACTCTGGGTAGCGTTTTTACTAGGTAGTTTCGGGCATATATCTTGGTACGGATTTGATGTTCCCTAAAATAACATGATTATGGTGAAGAGAACAAAAGGTTGAAAGTGAAATTTTTTTATCCTCTCTTATCCTTTATAAAAGCCTTGAGAATAAGACCTTATTTCAAATATTAAAACGAGTCATGATAACCTCATCTCAATGTTGGACTATATCTAATCTCTTATAAAACCCCAAACTAGTCAAAATATTTTCATAATACCCTATATATTTCTGGAATTTAAAACAATGTCCCTGGAATTTATATTATCCAAAGTAAATTAATACGAAGTAGTAATGAAATTGCAGAAGTACTGGGAAAATACAAAGTAGTACTAACATAAATCAAGTATGAATATGCAAGTGCTAAAATATTACCCTTGATTAAAGCCTTGAATAGGAGTTGTCCCACTTGAGATCCATAGAATGAAAAACCCTTCCTTTTCTCTTATACTACCATTTGTGTTTGCTCCTAGATGAAGCCATTGCTTCCATTATAATGGTCACTTATAACAGATTCATCATCTTAAAAGCTCTATAGTGCACGGGGGACAAAAACAATGCAAAATATAGCACTAAAAAGGTTACCTAAAAATCCATGATAGTTTAGATTCATATAAAAACAAGAGAAAGAAAGTATATATATGAAGATGGGAATTAAATATGCATGAAAGATAAAAATAAAGGTACATCCTTCAAACACAAAGCTACAGCTGCACCCCACCATTTAGCACGTTCATGAAACTACAATATATGTTTAGTTAACAACTGATTCAATAGATAGTATATTAATCAGAACTGGGTGAGTGCCTTATTGATATCAATCTAGGAAAATTGAGAAAATTACACCCAAAAAAAAAAAAAAAAAAAAACTACAGTTGTGATGTGATTCCCTTAATCCCTTATAATTGAATTACAATTAATTTATGGCATTGTTTTGAGTGATGATTTTTCCACGACAATTATTAATATACTTAAAGGTTAATTACATGAATAACAATTTGCATCATAAAAGGTTACAAGGTGCTAAGGTGCTAAGCTGTTAACCTTAAAGATGGTTTTACTATCATAAACTTAGAGATGGTTTTGGTAAATCTCCCATTGTTATGACTAATTTCAAAACTACATCATCCAGGTTGATCAAGAGCATGATCACATTTCTCTTTGTTTCCGGAAGATGAGCTATGTACAAATTTAATTGTGAAAACCAAGATTCAAGGGAAGTTACCCGCTTTGGAAACCGTGAAGCATCAAAAGGTAACTCAAGAATAAATATATAAAAAAAAAAAAAAAAAAAAAAAAAAAAACATCTAAGCAATAAGAATGATCAAAAAGAAAAGTGGATGTGCAGAAACAACAAGGATTCCATTGTCCTTGCCAGGTAAGACTGACCAAATGAATTATTTAAAGGAAAGCAAAAATAATACTATAGGATTCCTTCCCTTAATTTGACCAATCATAGTCCAACATCCCAAAGTCCCAAAACACTATTGAGGTGTTTGTCATTGAGGGAATAGAGAGAATGGAATTAGAGTTTATATCCCAAAAGCACTATTGTCAAGTTTATTTGAGTTTGGGAAAAAATATTGGGGATTAATTGGATATAGATAGGTCTTAACGTTATCTTTCCTAAATCACTAAGTTGAGGAAAAGCATTGGTAAGGGCCGCAATTTCGTTAAACATTCTCAACTTATAATTACTATCACAGCTCAAACAAAGAATTGGTAATAAAGAAGCAAATTTCTAAGCACCAATTTTCATTTCCACTCCCACCTATGATCCATCCGATCCCCAAACTCCCTTTCTCACACTTTAGAGGAATCATACCCAATGTTTTCTCATTGTCTCTAATAGTTTTTGTATAACTATAACAGGAAATAAGAATTTTTAATTTTTCTTTAAAAAAAAAGAAGCTAATAGATACATACTCGAGGCCCATTTCAACTTCCCTAAGAGCTTTATTAGCTACGCTAATGTTTTCCAAATGGAAAACACGTCTTCAAGAATGGACTCAAAGGATTCACTCTAAGTAGTTTTTTTTTTTACTCTCCAAACGTTAGTTTAATCAAGAAAGCCACAAACAACTCCCAAGGCATTCTCAACACCTCAAAATATGCCCTTAGTTGTTTGTTTGTCCACTTTCAAGGGGGCACCCATTACCCTCTCATTTGTGGGTTTCAAGTAGTATTCCTTTGCTTTCATAAGAGTTATTTCAGAATTTGAAAGTATTGTAACTCTTTATCCAAGATAAAAAAAATACAAAAATTAGTCACTACAAACATGGATATCTTATAGAATATAATCTATCTTTATGTAATTAATGCAATGACATTATTGGAGCCCATGCCTAATTACTGTTGGGGATCTTGGATGCCAAACTTATGGGGTTGGCTCGTCAATGGTTTGTAAAAACATACCCCTCCATTTCATTCTAACGACCTTTATAAGATGATGTACAAGTTATAGGAAAATCTAATGAGTTACGAACAATATTGCTTGGTGGTATCGTGGAAAATGATAAAATTAAGCTTAGTGATCAAACAATATAGATAGAAGTAATTTTTATCCCCACTAGACATTTCCCATCTAAAATTTCTTAATAGTGAATTTCTACACAATATATGTCTTTAAAATCATTAAGTTTGAAAGCCATTTTTATTCCTTTTTGATAGGAAAAATGCAAAAAAAAAAAGTTAAGAAACCAAATCAGCAACTTATAGTGTTAAACTGTAAAAAGCCTGCCAATATAAGTGCACATCTCTTTTGTCCCAAGACTCTGTGCCCCTTTTTAAGTTCATCACATCTATGTCCACCCTTAATCATGTCTTAAAGGTGAAGGGCTGACAGCCTGCCACTAAGGGTGAGTTTGGCCTCTCTAAATGGTGTCACATTCCTTGGGTATAAACTGGAAGCTTAGGGTACCACATTTCAACATAATAAAAATAAAAATTCATACTTAAAAAAAAACGAAAAAACAAACTACGTGGACAAAGCTTTCACACATAGCAGGGTAATCATGATAATTAAAATATATGCATGCCAACAAATTGAATGAACTCATTTTAATGTAAGATCAATAATTTTAGAGTGAGAATATGCAGGACAGAAAAAACCCACATAAATCTGCCAAAATCTCAGAGGTCAGATATATTTCAGATAACGGCCCTAGGCCCGCCCTACTAACAAACTTTTCAATTTTATATCAATTTCCTAAATAATCAATGAATTTCACGCACCTTTTTATATTGGAAATGTCGACACTCACTAACATGAGAATATCTCTGAAATATACTACGTAAAAAGTTAAATCATTCTGGTTATAACACCAACTGCCAAATGTGTACACTGTTTATACTCCCAGGTATTATAAAACAAGTTTTATCTCGTGAAAATGATTTATTCTTTATTTGAAGAACTCGATAATTTCACACTTCCTGCTAGGAGGCTAACTCTAATAAAGGTATTGAATTGCGCCATCAGATAAATGACAAGTTACAATTTGGATATAGTGATTGTTTGTATTTGGCAGGCTTATTCTAATTAGGCTCTATCTTTTGCTTTCTACCCTCATTCTTACTAAGAGCCCTTGTTTTTCCACATTAAATAATACATGTATTGTAAACTGGTCTTGTTTATTACTACAAGAGAAGAAAATTATGAAACAATGAAAGAGGATTAATAATACATGAGAAAGTCACATGACATATAAATATTTCGATTATAAATATAAAACTGATAAAATTGTATATACGTAGTATATAATATGCAAATACATAGTATGTTGCAGTAGAGGAAATCATTGTTGGGACAACCTACATCCTAACAAATTTGGACCGGCGTCAAGCTAGAAAGGTTTGTCCAAGTCCCATAAATTGGGCAGGATAAAGTCAAAGACAAAGACATAGGCTATTGTAGTCGGGTCATCACCCCCCCCCCCCCCAAAAAAAACCCACACTCGGGCCCCGGAATGACCCCAGCGCTGTCCCAAAAAATGGAAGCCCAAATTGGGCTGAGCCACACTCCACTATAGAAGAAGTAGATATGTAAGTAGAAAGAATAACAATTGCGTCAAATAAAGAAAATACTTGACTATTGACTAGCCATAGGCCCACAATTGTTTATTCCTGATTGATTAAACATGAGAGTTGCTAATGCTTTCTAGTTTCTAGAATTCTTGGGGGCAAAATGACATTGGATTACGAATACATCGTTTGTAGATTCCCGGCCATCATAAGATAGGCTTGGATTTCCGCGCTACTGAAAAGGCCAATATAGCCCAATAAGACTATCCCCCTTCCTCTAAATTCTCAAGAGTCAGAATGTACAATACTCAAATACGGTTAAAAGACATGATACATTTCACCTATCATCACAATTCTGGTAAAAAAGCTTTAGTTGAATTGTTTATGCAAATTTCAGAAACGAATACTAAGACACAACAAGCACTAAAACGAGGGTTTACCACAAAGCGATGGGTAATACTGTTATAAAAGAACAGATATTGGATAAGACATTACCTGTAGGTCTATAAGCAGCCAAGTTTCTGTTCCATAAGAATTTCGATCCAATGATAACCATTAGTGGTCAGACAAGTTTTTTTTTTCTGTCCCAGCTCCTGTTTGGCACAAATTATCTCTTTCATTTTCAATTCCGGGACCAAAAATAAAAATCAACCTAGATCAAACTGACTTTCAATTAATCAAAAAGCAACAACAAGAGAAGCAAAATGCAGACTAAAGAGCTGAACTGCAACTATGACTATGAGTATGTTTCTAATTTTTTCCACTTGCATTCACCAAGTCCTACATTGAGGACAGCTACGCTCAGGCACTGAGTTTACACATAATTTTTGCCTTCAAAGGATTAGATCTCAGTGTCAAAAGACAGCTAGGACTATATTTTCATGAAAGCAACAGTGGTAAATTGTGAGTTGTTTCCTCAAAGCAGATATGTTTGATTCATGATATACATGTTCAATTTCAAAAAACCAAACAGCAGACAAGAGCAAACATATAGAGAATTAAATTTGAAATAGAAGGGTACAATCCATCAACTAATGTAACATAACATCAATATTCTGTACAGAATTACATAAGGGAAATTAAATAGACTGATGGAAAGGACTCTATTGGCTGTTATTTGTACATTCGTTGAAGTCCTCTTCCTCACAACCTTACAGTTTTGTGGAATGTGAAGGAAGTCGTTACAAAGAGATAAATTTGACTTGCTCTAAGCAACATCGTTATTGATAATTGATAAATACAAAGTAGAAAGCAAAGACTTTCTTCCAAGATATTATACACATTTAAAATATCAAAATCAATTTTACAAATCTGTTCACTTTAGGGCCTTAGGCAGATGCTGCTATGTAAAATTAATTACTTGCTCAACTCTAAAACAGTTGTCTTGCCTAGATAACTTGCTGTAAATCAACATATAACACCAATTCTGATGGAATATGAAACTCCAAAAGATTTGGTTTACTTAGAGATTAAGAGATGAATATGAACTGAAATTAGGCATGAAAGTGAATTAAATTAGTCCACATCCACCATGTCTTTAATGTCAGTTATAGCTTGAGACAAATATTAAAGACTCGGTGAATACCTACTTCCACTCCACAATTTCAAAGCTGAAGTTAAAAGAGCATTAGAAATGCAAAAGAAAGGATATTACGAATCCACCATCAATGATGATGAATTGGAAATCCAATGACAATCCTTAGTTGACTATAAATGTACAACCAGACCTTATGTACCAATCAGTACAGCTACAGAAGATTGAGAGCTGTAAGGCATAAAGTGTGTATACTATACTAATTACTGAAAACATTCTCAACAATTCAAGCAAATGCCTTGAGCCAAAGATTATGGAAAAAGGAGGGAACATGAAGTACCTTTAACCTGGAATTTGGATCCATATAGATTTTGCAAATAATTTGATGACAAAGCTGTATGATTTGGAATTGCACGGTTGAGTAAATCATAGAGCTTAAACATCCAGTGCGAACCTGAATCACAGACTTCAAATATTCTATGTCAGCTCGGATTTCAGCAACAAGAAAAAAAATGGCCTCCCAACACATCATATTAAGATGTCATTTTCTGCTTTCCTGTATGAGAAAGACATATGATCTTTCACAACATAAAAGAAAAAAAAAAAAAAAAAACAGAGTAATGTTAGAAAATTACAGCATGCACATTGAACAGAGCACATATAGAAAATCAAATATCAATAAACATGTCATTGTGAATGTTAAGCGTATGAAGGTAGCAAAAAAGTATGATGGAACTAAAGTATGTTGGTATGATGGATAAACTACGCAAACTAAACAGGGCCACAGTGTTACTACTGACTAATTTCAATTAAATACACTTAGCAAGTCAAATAAAGACAAAATCCAATCAAGATAAAACAACATCTATGCAGCTAATTGTCAACCACAAAGTAACTCTCCACTAAATGAGCCAAGAAATTGAATATATATGATTAAATGCAGAAGTAAGGAAATGAAAACCGAATCTTAAGAAGATAAAACTTTGTACTATAATCAAGAAGACAAGAAGTGATCACTACCTAAGGTTTCATTTAGTTGGAGATTTACTAAGGTCACATTGCAACATAATCTTTCATTGGCAATCTTTACCTAGGTTGCCCGCCGATCAAAATTTTCAAACAATATGACCATGGATGTGGATTTCAGATTACTTCTTCTACTAAGAAAACTTCTATTTTTGAAATATTTCTAACAAAAAAACTGCTTGCTCGAACTTTTCTAGCATACATGAACATTATTCCAAAACCTCTAAAAAGTTCCACTCAAGAATCTAGGCTGCCTTATCCCCAACTAATTCATAAATGTTCTTTGTGTTAAACCTCTCAATCCGAAACCCAACTACTATCAACTAATTCACCTTAAAGAATAAAAAAAACACTCCAATTCAATGAGCCATTAAATTTTAGTCCATTACAATAATCCAAGACCTAAGAATAGTGAATCATTTTAATTTAAACAACTACGTAGTAATACTTAAGTCATGCTCGGTTTTTACTAAATGAGACAAAACTTAGCATTAGTTTACCAAATTATACATTTTATGCAAAGAATTCATAAGTTAGGGTTTAAATTATACTCTTACGGCTTCATATAGACAGATATGTTAAAAATTTTCCCTAAGAATCCTAACCACAAATGAATAAGAAATAGAATCTGAAGAACATCAAAATTTGCACAATTAATAAGAAGACGTCATAATTTCATACCTGTACGCCATAATTTCTGATGTTTTGCATCATCATCATCAATCCAAGTTTGACATCTGACAATGTATTATCGCAATTAAATTAGGTTTACCTGTATCACTCAATTAAGTGATGTCGTCAACAATTCAACAAAGCATTCAACAAATTTACAAAAACAACACCAAAATCGAATGAATATATAGTTAATTAAAGAAGAAATTGATTTGTAGGATAAAATCGAACTAAAATTGCAGAAGAAGCTGATTATATTTCGCAGAAATCGACGAAAAATTTAAACACGGAGATTAAAGAGAGATGCAGAATACCTGGTTTTGGCTTCTGGCTGAGAAGCGCCATTTTTCAAAATACTCCGCTATAAAAAGGGAATATATATCTCTCACTTTGTAAGAGGATGCACAATTTTAGCTAACCTATTAGAGGAGAAAGATAGAAAGAATCATTAAATCACCTCCGTAAAATTTGTGTTTTAATAGTGTTATTTTCAAAAGATTTGTGAAAAGTACGTCGAAATGGATAGAATTATGTGGATATGTACGACGGAGTAATTGGGAGCATGAATAAGAATGTATACACATGTGGAGTATCCAATAAAGGAGACAAGTGTTACAAGTACTTAAGAAGTTTTTGATTAAATAGAACATAATTTTTTTTTTTTTTTTTTTTGATTCAACTGAGATTCAAAAGGAATCAAAGAGAAAATAGAACATGAATTGTACTAGTGTATAAACAATGGTCAAATTATATTTCCCTATTGCCGAATGTCATTAAACTCCTTCTGTTACAACACAATAGTTGCATCATAACTTTTCGTACTATTACCATAATTTTTTTGACCTTGTTTGCATATTGAAATATGACAATGAGGGCTGGGGTTTATGTATGAATGAGATGGTTTTGGACACTCAATAGACTTTTTGGAAACCGGCCTTTGGAGACCATGGAAAAAACCTTAAAGCATAACCTTGTTGGGTTTAAAAATTATCTGGAATCAAATTTGAAGGCTATAATGTACGAAATCAAACTATTTATTAAGATTTTGTAACCCAATGTCAAAAACTCAATTGATAAAAAGGAACACATCATGGAGTTATGAGGTCTTGTAATGCTTGGAACCATTATACGGATATATCCCTATATCGATTAAGGCCAAGTTATGGACTTATGTTAGGATGTTGGATAACTTGGATTAGTAATTTAGTACAAGAATGAGACTTTTAACATCCCTAGAACCTTTCACCGAGCACAATTTGCGTTCAAAGAGTTATCGCATTTTCATAGATACCTCTTTAAACTCGAGGTCTCCAATGCAGAGATCCCAAACCCATCATCAACCCACAATTAGTTACATGGGAGGCTCCTCCTCTCAACTCTTTTAAACTCAACTTCGATGGTTCGGTAAAAAACAACTCAGCAGCAGCAGAAGTCATCATCAGAGACAGTAAAGGTACACCTATTGCAGCACAAGCTTTCAACCTTGGAACCACCAACGTCTTTGTAGCTGAAACTTTTGGTCCCACAAGGGAATCATCCTCGCCCTCCAACAAGGAATACAAAACTTCACATTGAAGGGGACAACCTCTTAGTTGTTAATGCAGTGAACGGTATTTGGTCGACCCCGTGGCAAATTGATCACATTATAGAAGATATCAAGATCCTACTTCGCAGATTCCCTCATTGGGAACTTTGGCATGTCTACAAAGAAGAAAATAGAGTAGCAGATTGGATTGCAAATGTTGGGCATCTTGTCATCAACAAATTGGATATTTCATTTTGTACCTCTTCAACTTTATACCTCATTCTCACCTCAAATGCTTTAGGATCGCCCCACGTGAGGAGGGGTCCTAATTCTTTCCTTTTTTCTTACCTTAAAGAAGAAAGAAAGAAAAAAGAAAAAAAGAAGAAGAAGATTTGAGACCATTGCAAACAAGAAGTATTACTGTTTTTTCTCCAGCGTGAATTATTTTATTGGGCTTTGATTAAGCCATAACTCTGATCCCCATTCCACCACCAATCTTGATTTTATTTTTTTTGGTACTACTCATTTCCATGACTTTCATCCCATGCACTAATTTTGACATTTTTCGACGGTTAATTTTTGAGAAAAAATAGTTTGGGTGTAATATAGTCTTGTTAGATATGTGTCAAATGAACATCATATGGTTTTGTCAAAATTAATTTTTAGTCATTTACTATAGAATAAAAAAAACTAAGTGAACAAAAATGCATATTGAAAATTGTTTAGTGGCCCAAACTGGCTTCCTACTATGGGGCTCACTAAACATTGGAAACCCATTAAAGGCAAGGGCCTAAGGCTATGGTGTAACAAATTTGGCCCATTTAAAGTTTCTTAAACCCCAAATACGATCCAAGCCTTGCCACTAAGACAATTAAACTTAGGCATTTGATGAGATGCCTTGGAGACCCTTGAAGTCATCTTACATGTATTCATGGGAAGACGTTTTAACCAAAAAAAGATATCACCGTGTTGAAACCTCCTTATAATAATCCAAAAAGTAACCCTAACGAGAAAATTGTTTCACATTCATAGAATCATAGCAAAATCCACATACGGAGAAGATCTTCATAAGATGAAGGGAGTACGTGTCAACATACACATGATACTATTTGTCAAACTTGGGTAAAAGTATGGCAAGGACAGGGGATAGAAAGGTAGAAGATTAAGAAAATATTTAGCTCAACTTTATGGAAGCAAACATATAAAAAAAGGTTGCCCTAAGAAAGGGATAGCAAATATAATTAAAGTCATCATATTAACCCTCCGCTAGGGCACCCTTTTTTTTTTTTTTTAATTTTATTTATTTTATATAACTGTTTTTAGGTGTAGAATTGTATAAACTTACGGCTTAACCAAATTTCCGGCGAGAGCAAAGAGCAAGTCGCACGGCATGAGACCAATCGTGAAAATTGTCCAATTTTAGACGTTGTGAGGTGATGTAATCCCCGGGCCGATCTTGCGGTCCAAGGTAGAAAGGGGAGTTTGATTCAATTTTTGTAGGTGCCGGTGGAGGAGATGTGTCATCCCCGACGGCCATTATTGATGTTTACAGAGAGAAAAAAAAACCAAGGCTCCGATACCATGTAGAATTGTATAAACTTACGGCTTAACCTTTCATTAATTGGAGCAAAACATATATATACAATGCTAATTCCTAGAGATACCTTAATTAGGTTACTAGAAATTAGGAAACAATATGAAAGATAATACCAAATATTCCACAAAATATATCACACAAAATATATCCGCAATATTAGGTGACCAAAATTGCTTCCTTTTCTTTATGTTATGTGGAATTTTGCATTCTTGCGAGCAACGAATCAACGAGTACATCCTCTTCCTTTCTCCACTTATGCATTTTTCTCATGAAACTAGAGCTAGCTAGCAAGCTTGATTACAAAATTCATAGAAATATTTTTTAAAACTATACCAATAATAACCTATTATCAAAGATGTGAGAAATTCAATATCGAAAAATATATTAGAACGACATACCATAGTGAAGTAAGTAGAACGACATACTAATTTAAAGAGGAAGATAAAAAATTTAATTTATCACTATTTTACATATATATATGTAGTCGACAACATACATTTTATTTATACAACCAATTGACATAACGAAATCATTGTTATAACTCTAGCTAGTCTCATTGGCAACTTGCAAGTACAAAATCAAGAATAACTCGAATTGATCATGGACACCCATAATGCTCACAATAATGAAACATACAACATCAAAATAAAAAATAAAAAAACATTGCCAAAGAAAAAAAAAAAAAAAAAAGATATTTCCAATGTGGCAAATAAATAGGGCTGTAATTTTCATACGTCGACTAGGAATCGTATCTAGTTGGAGATAATTTTGGAATTATTATCTGTTGCAATATTATTTGTTGCTGATCTGATATTGTTGGCAAGTATTATACTTTTTATTTCATTATAAATGCAGTCCAGAACTCAACTCCAGATAGTTAAATTTTTTTTCCTTTATTTGTGGACGGGATATTGGTATATATTTAGTAGGTATGATATGCTTGCAATCATATAATGTATCAAACTTATTTGTTTTTATAGAAGATCCCTTCTGGATTCCTCTCATATATGCCACTTACATTCTTGCATTGTATTATAAATTATAATACAAGTGTTATATAATTTACAATTTACTC